CCCTTCCCTGAATTCCTTGTTTTCACACCCCTCCCCCGTGCTTCTTTCAAGAGGCTTCACGAATCCCCAAACCTCTGAACCCTGAAGCCCTTGAAACCCCTAAAGCCTACCCGGCCACCCTTGCCCTCCCCAGCCGTTTGGGCACAGGTGCCAGATTCAATCAGCTGCACGAAGGCGCCCTGGCAGCAACAGTGAAATCATCACACAGAGCAGGGCATTGAGTCCCGGCACCCAGCAATCGTCATGCAGAACAGAGCATTGAGTTTTTGTGGGCGCACCTCGGTGATGTCGTGGTGCTCGCCGTGCTCGTTTGGCTGATGCCTTCCAAGCACGCATACACCTACAACATTCGGTCCGACCAAAGCCTTTTGGTCACCAAAACCGCAAAGGTGGTTAATGCTACGTTATGCTATGTGGCTTTTGTGTATGTGTATCCGGATCCGTATGCTGTATGTGCTGTATGTGACATAAGTGCTGCTCACTCTTGCTCCTTATGTTTCTTGCTGATGAACCTTTTGCTTTTGCTTGTTTTGGAACATCCTTTGCCTTAGGCCGGAAAGTAATCCAAAAGCGAAATGGCAAAGTAAGACAATCTCACTCACTATGTATCTCGCTTCACAGGGCCTAACGCATTGCCCGTTGCCACGAGGTGCAAGCACCCAAGCCCAAACCGTAAGCCGCTTAAAAGACTGCTGCTGCTGCTGCTCACGTGCCCTGCCTGGCGCGAAATCCACACTCGATCGGGAACTTCTGCATGTCGCCAGAACTGATTCCTGTTCGTTTCGGCAGTGTCCCACCCGACCCTCTCACCTTCTCTGTGCCCCTCCCCTTGCCTGCATCTTGGCCAGGGCCATGCTGTTCGAAGGCTACAACACTCACTAGGTCCCTAGGTGGCCACAGCCCACTGACAGTGTGCTACCAGCTGATGACATGTGGACCGTTGACGTGTTACGTGTTGTTGCTTTTGCTTGCCCGGTCTGTGTGACTGTATGACACTACAATGAACCGCAGTAGTGTATGATGTGATGCGGGTGCAAGATAGCCAGCCATGACAGTGTCAAGCGGGAGCCGGCACGTGCGAAACTGATTGCACTTCCTCACTGGATCTGTATCTGTCGCCTCTGTCTTTCTGTCTGTCTGCCTGCCAGCCTGTCTGTCTGTCTCAAAGTCTGTCTGGGAAACAAACTGCAGCCCGGCCCCAAGGTTCTTGCCGTTCCGATCCGAGGCCGAAACGAAAAGTTGAGAATTGAGACGGCATGATGCCGGTAATCTAGTAATGATAAATTTCTATGATTCATGCAAGTTTTATTTATCTGTAGTACTGGTACCACTGCGCGACGAGCCACGATAATAAATGTGCTAGGAACTAGGAATCAGGAATTACGAATTAGGTCCTCGCCAATGGCCAATAGTCCAATAGTGGTCGTAGATCCTCCACCTTTCGGCACCGCCTACACCCCAGGCTTGCGCCCTTCGGCACGTGTATACCGTACCGATATACAGTACAGTACGGAGTATGCACAGTATGCAGTATGCACCCCCAGCCTATGCCTATGGCCTATGGCCCTATGGCTTTTGTCATTATGGATTCCCTTTGTGACTCAACCCTCCGAAAGCATTCAATCCTCCGATGTTACACATCATTTTTGTAGCATCGTGGCCGAACGAAAAAGAGCCAAGAGTAAAGTCTGCAGTGAGACCGGTGCAGTGCACGTGTTGCAATGGGTGGGGGCTATGGGCTATGGCGTGGCACGGGCACGGCGAGTGCGAGATTCACTTCGCTGCGTTAGCACTGCGTTGGTTTCGGTGAAAGATTTGACTGGACTCTTGGTTTCGACCCAGCTAGTGATAGCCAAACAAAACCGTTGAGACTTTCACGAGACGCTAGTTCTCTGTACAGCCCTGTAGGTTTGGGCTTGCTGTTTCTTAGTTTAATTGAAAAAGAAGAAAACTACCAATGCTAATATACCACGAATTTAGCCTAATGCAGCCACAGTTAATTAAAGCAATACCAAGAAAAACAACAGTCAGGACTAGTAATAACAACAAACAATACCAAAAAAACACCTATTTCAAATAGGCTATTTGACAATAATTGACTAATTGACAATAACGAGGATATTGTGGCAATATTATAGCATTAATAGTAATCGTAATAGCAACAGTAATAGTACTGGTAATAGAATAGTAATAGTAATAGTAATAGTAATAGTAATAGTAATAGTAATAGTAATAGTAATAGTAATAGTAATAGTAATAGTGATAGTGATAGTAATAGTAATAGTAATAATAATAACAGTAATAGTAATAGTAATAGTAATAGTAATAGTAATAGTAATAGTAATAGTAATAGTAATAGTAATAGTAATAGTAATAGTAATAGTAATAGTAATAGTAATAGTAATAGTAATAGTAATAGTAATAGTAATAGTAATAACAGTAATAGTAATAGTAATAGTAATTGATATAGTAGTAATAATAATAGTAATAGACTATTAGAGGTAGTAGAAGTAGTAGGAGTGGTGGTGGTGGTGGTGGTGGTGGTGGTGGTGGTGGTGGTGGTGGTGGTGGTGGTGGTGGTGGTGGTGGTGGTGGTGGTGGTGGTGGTGGTGGTGGTGGTGGTGGTGGTGGTGGTGGTGGTGGTGGTGGTGGTGGTGGTGGTGGTGGTGGTGGTGGTGGTGGTGGTGGTGGTGGTGGTGGTGGTGGTGGTGGTGGTGGTGGTGGTGGTGGTGGTGGTGGTGGTGGTGGTGGTGGTGGTGGTGGTTGGTGGTGGTGGTGGTCGTGGTGGTGGTGGCAGGCAAGGGAGGGGCAGGCACAGAAAACAGGAAGGAACAGGGCAGGAGGGCAGGCAGGGTCAGGGCAGGAGCAGCAGGGGGGGCAGGGGAGCAGGGGCAAGGGCAGAGCAGCCAAAGCAGGCAGATGCAGGCAGGAGGGGCAGGGGCAAGGCAGAGCAGGGGCAGGGGCAGGGGCAGCAAAGGGGCAGAAGCAAGGCAAAACCAGGGCAGGGGTCAGGCAGGGACAGGGCAGGGGCAGGGGCAGGGTGGAAGGGAAGGTGAACCAAAATCCGGAACCTGCCCCTTCAAGATGCTGGAATTTGACCTCCGGCCCCCCCAAGATTTGTAGACTGGACACTGCAGATGCCCCAATCTGTTGAACAGTTGGGCCCCGAAAAATTTGGAAACTCCAAATGCCACATTCTGGAATCCAAAGCCCGGGCTCCCGAACTCCCAAGCCTGCTGAACAGTTGGGACCCCCAAAAACCGTCAACTCCAGACCCCTCCAAACAGTTGTGCTTTTTCTGGGGGGGTGAATATAGGGAAAGTAGTTTCCCACTGTTAGTGGGCGGGGGCAGATCCCAACGTATACCATAGCTCTACAGGAATCTGGACCAAAACACTGGTAGTATTGTGGCATATTGTGGCCAACAGCTTGCCTGTCCTTTCCCTGTATAGGCTCCATATACTCTTCATACAATTACGGTGCACGACATATTTCAGGGGTCCCTGTAACGGATTGTATTGGAGTTGTATTGAGAGATATTCACGGACAGGATCCAAACCAACTTGGACACAAACCTACTTCGGAAGCTTCGCCTGGTTCTCTACTGGCTTATGCACTGCATTCAGTGAAATTCGCTGGCTGACAGGATCCTACCTCATGGAAAATCTGCTCGCAAATTGTTCCTCACAGTCAACCTCCTTTGCTGAGGCTGTTGCAGTGCAGGGTTTCTTACCTCCGCCTTGCATGGAGGAATTTTTCTCTCGAGCCGAACGACTTGGACCAAACAGCTGCAAGAAAACTTTAAGTGCTTTAGCCCTCGAGCTGCAATAAGAATTGAAAAGCTTGAAGCAACAAGGTTGACATGACTGCTTGTACCGAAACTCGCAAACTGCGGATCGCACTCGGAAGACTTTTCCTTCGGTGACGATGGGATGTCAGATGCATGTGTGCTGCTTCAGCACAGGTACACTAACTACATGCCAGGCTGGCATTCTTCTACACTAATTGCACGCAGGGAGTTGCAGCCCTCTCGGAGGGGCCCTGCTGACTTCCACCCCTCAAGAGCACCACGCCAGTGTCAGGGCGGCTGGGTGGGACAAAAAATTTCTGCTCGGCTTGAGCACACAACTCTGCATGTGAGATGGCATTGCACGAACTGACCGGAACCGCAAAGAGGTTTGCAAAAAGCTTCAAGAAAACAAAGGAAGTGCATCAAGAAAATCAAGCTGGCACAAGAAGGTTTTTCCTAAGTTTGTCCAAGGCGGCCCACGCGAGGGCCTTCGCTCAGGCTCAAGAGAACCCACTATCTCGGGGCGAGACTGTGTGGTTCTCTCGAGCCGAACGACTTGGACCAAACAGCTGCAAGAAAACTTTAAGTGCTTTAGCCCTCGAGCTGCAATAAGAATTGAAAAGCTTGAAGCAACAAGGTTGACATGACTGCTTGTACCGAAACTCGCAAACTGCGGATCGCACTCGGAAGACTTTTCCTTCGGTGACGATGGGATGTCAGATGCTTCAGCACAGGTACACTAGCTACATGCCAGGCTGGCATTCTTCTACACTAGTTGCACGCAGGGAGTTGCAGCCCTCTCGGAGGGGCCCTGCTGACTTTCACCCCAACTTAACCTATTTAAGGAATCCTTTAGCTTCGTCCAGTGACTGCAGACTCACCGGAGCCCCTGTACTTTCTTCAAGCAAGCGGTGATGATGCCGCCCACGGTGGATCTTTCAAGATGAGTGCCCAAGAGGCACAGGCTTTTGCATTCGATCCGCGAAGGTTCATCTGCGGGGTTTGGTGGTGATGGTACCCTCGCGTACCAAGGCACGACTGAAGCATCATGCTCCAATTGCAAGAAAATCTCCAATAGTCGCCTGGCTATCGACGCTTTCGCATGCCCCGAAATGGTGATGTCACGAACCCCGTTATTGTCCACGAAGAAAATTACAGGGCAGCCTTTAAAGTCGTGTGACCAAGCATCCATAGCGATTGTGAGCGCCAGCTAGGATGCGTCCGTGTACACCTTCCAGAACCCGCCTTCAAGGATCTTGATAAGTCGCGGTGCATCGCACTCAAGCCTTTGCAGAAACCTTTCAAGCGACACGCGAAGCTCGTGACTGATAGCCTCCTCGAGACCATAGGCGTGTGCAGTGATCAATCCTAGACACTTCTTCCCAGTGCGGCCGAAGATTTGAGAATCTGCAGACTGACACCTCCCTCTGAGGCGAAGCGCTTCATGATGTGGAAGACGGCCGTCCTCCAACACCTTTTGCACAAAGGATTTGATTTCCTCAATACGCTTTTCCGTATTCTTGAAGTAAATCACCCCGTCGCGAACCTGACTCAGGTCAGCAACTATTCCCAATGCAGTGAAGCATTTTGCAAAGTCATGCGATTTGTCACCGGACTCAGCGAAGGCCCATCCAAGTAACTTGAACATTGCAGTGACAGACGATTCCGCCGACAGAGCTTGGCCGGAAGTGGCAAATGTTATATAGTCATCGAAAAACGACGACCAGGGCAGAAGGAGGGCTTTGGGCGAGTGGCTGATTCTCAAGAAACTATACACCGCCATGGAAGAGCCAAATGGCATCGCCCTCATGCGGAAGTACACTCTCTCATGAGTCTCCGGATGGATCAAGCAAATGTATGAAGCCCACTCGCTGCCCGGGTGCACCGGTAGCTGCCTATAAGCAGCGGTAAGATCAAAAGCCTTTCCCAAGAGGTTGAAGACGGCCTTGCCTACTTTCCTTCTGATGTACCTAAGAAGACGCTGGCACGTGGAAGCCACCACATCAGTGGACTGCGGTTGGGGAGCTTCATAAGCTTGCACTGCTAAGTTTACCCCAGACGAAGTCAAGTTGTCAATGCACCTAACCTTCGGGCCTTGCCGCAATCCGAACCGCCTGCTCACCAAAGTTCCTGAGCACAAGTTGGATTCGCTAAGAGGGCCAATGATCCAGCCCGCCTCTAGCTCCTTCTTAGTCTTTTCAAAAACTTCGGACATTAGGGAGTGCTCCTGGGGTTTAAGGGACTTATGGACCTTTTTCCGAAAATCATGAAAATCCTCGCGCACTTGCTCTGGCGTGGCTTGCATAGGTTTGAACTTCGGCTTAAAGACGCCCGAGATGGGCGCGTGACCCACTAAGGGAATCCCTTCCTTGAGGAGACTGGACACTCCAGGGTCAGGATAAGCGTACTTCGCCATCAGAGACTCCCACAGCAAAATGCGTTTCGGTTCGGTGATGGCACGGACGTCAGGGTGCATGCTTGCTTTCAACTTTGCTTCATCCTGAGCAAGGGAAACCGAAAGGTGAACCCACTCCTTAATAACCCTAGCTCTAAGCTCGGTTACTTCGGCGTCATTCTTCTCGTCCAATGCATCAAGAGAATCCTTAAGTGGCTAAGGGAGCACAGATCCAATGGTCCGAGGATGGCTGGACTCATTGGCCGTCTTCAAAAACTCTTCTGGGTCCCAAGGAATTCCCCAAGCCATTTCCCACAAACCTACTTTCACAGTCTCGTCGCCCCCACTTTGACCTATCGGCACGTGCCTGAGAAGCTGGGATTTCGCAGGAATGCAGGCGCAGGGAGCATGGCACCCCTGAGGCACGAGCCAATCTGTAGTAAGACGCTGCATGGGCTGGCACGGTAGTTGGAGGCCAGGCGGGTGGCGAAGCACGACCACACGCTTATGTTCCGGGACGAGCGGAGGAATCTTGCTAGCCGGAGGCTGAGCACCTGCTAGAGCACGTGACATCGGCACCTGAAGTCGAGGGTCGAATGCATCGAAACATTGGCTGGGCGGTTGCCAACCTTTCTTGACGAAAACTTCGGCGAAGCAGCATGCTACTTGCATTGCGAGGTGAGCAGGGTAACCGGTGCCAGGATCGGGGCAGCGATTCAAGACTTTGCACGGAGGCCGGGGCAGGAACGAGCCAACTTGTCAAAGCCACTATCTGATACTACGAAAACGGTGTGATCGTCATGTCTGCCACCGAAGGTACACTCCTGGCAGGCAACAAAACGAAAAGAGGAGGCAACAGCCCTCCACTGAGGGTTTTGCCAGAAGCGACTTTGTCGAGGATTCGCGATGGCACAAAGGACTCCATTGGTCAAGGATGTGGACAACACATGCAACAAGAATGTGATTGCATCAGCAGTGGCAGCGGTGAAGGCTGGGGGCGTAGCAAAAATGCCGGCCAATCTAGGAGAGGCGAGCCACTCCTTGCACAGCTTCTGGCCTCGAGCCGAGGTGAGGTCCGCCGGTAGACAGAAGGACACGGACTTACTAGGATTACGGTCAACCCCAGCAGCCGAAAGTCCCAACTGCTTGAGGCAAGCAGTGACACGGCCGTTGCCCGCAAAAAGCTCGATAACAAGGGGGTCATTCCAAACGACATCAGAGTTCGGAAGAACCGGTCTCGTCGGCAGCAAGCTGGCCTCTGGCAGAGGCGGTGATGGAGGCAACAAATTTGCCTCCGACGCACACAAACCTAATGCCCGGCTCGGAAAGCCTAAGCTCTGGAGTTGCTGTTTGAAGGCTGTGGACAAATCACGAGTATGCGCAGGCTTAAATGCAACGAGAAGCACTCGCTCACCGACCCACGGCATGGTACAATGGGTGCGTCGCGGATCTACGACACAGGGCCCATCTGCAACCGGAAGGAGCGAGCCCATGAGTGGATGGCCCAACTCATCGCGCACAACAACGGATCCCTGTCCTTCTTGCCACACCTCGCCACCTGTGAAAGAGGACACAGGAATCAAGTAATTTACCGATCCCGGAGAGTTGTTAATGTCGACATGTAGAGGTGTTCGCAAATTCTTAAAAACTGCAACCGCGCCAAAATCGGCCTCCGGAAAAGCTTGGAGCACAAGCCTGCAAAGCATGCGCGTACAAGCGGGGAAAACAGAAGCATGTTTCCGAAGCCCTCGCAAAGGACCTTTAGCGTATGCGCCTGAGGTCCAAGAAAAGGTGTTCTCAGAAGATTGACCTCGTGAAGGTTTCTCAGACTCCAAAAGTGTAATTAATTTCAAGATGTCAGCCAGCACAGGAGGCTCACACTTTGCAGAAAATTTTTCAGCCGGATGCTCTAACGCAACGAGTTTTGACCCGGTCGGTGCAACCAAGCTGCAATCATGCAATGGGTAGTCTTGACCTCCAGTCGAGGTTGCGGCAATTGTTGCTGCGATGCCCTCTCCGTCATCGGTCACCATATGCACATCCGCAGTGCGGATCGGATGTCACTTTTTGCGCTGTGGACACTCCTGGATGCCATGGTCGGGGAGAAGCACAGTGCGCAAACATGAAGACCTTTCGGGCACGGGTCAAGGGTGCAACCACAAGGCAGATTCCTGGAGAAACAAATGCGCTTCTTGTCCGGAGTTTGGGCACTCCCGCCGAGTTTGCGTATAGCCTCCGGCACACTTGGCTGCCATGCTGGACGCTTGCCCTTGCCTTTGCCAGAACCCTTGCCTCCGTCACCTTTGCCAACCTTCTGTTCACGCTCATTCTGATCCTTCTTGGTCGGAGCAAACCGCTTCTTGCCATCCTTAGAGGATTCCCTGGGGAGCAGCGCAACAGTGACATCGTACGATTGCAACGCGGGTAACAGTGCATCGTCCACGGGGTAGGTGCCAGCGGGGCTGCCCCTTGGGCTAACCTCGTCCTCGATCAACTTTGTCCAAACCTGGCGGTCAGCAGTGAGGAGCTGGTGCACACTGGTTCTCGCGTGCCCCGGAGGGGGCTCTCGACCCATGTGGCCGAAGAGCTTCAATACATACTTCTCGTGAGCGAGGAACGAAGCCACACCCGCAAACTGAAGGGCGATCCCACGCCTTTTCAAAGCCTCCTGCAGCAACAAGGCGGACCCACAAGTGACCTCAGGCAAATCCTTTTCTTCTGAAATCGCAAGCTTGCCCTCTTCCAAAGAAAGAACCTTGTGCGCCTTGACGTTCTGGATTTCATACATTCTTGTGCCACACTGCTCAGGTGCAATGTAGCGCAGCTGGCCTTCACGTTCCATGCGGCAAGCAGCATTGAGGAGCCCATGCGACGGCTCCAAGGACCCTTCAACCAACACTCCTGGGATGCTGGCTTTCACAGCCTCCATTCTCTTCTGCTGTTCTTGTCGGACTGCGTAACTTGTTCACGCAGATCAGTGAGCAGTAATGCCTGACTCTCAAAGATGAGCCTCTTCACACTTCCTTTCTCGCCCAAGAGAGCTGCAGGTATCACGGTAGCAATGAAGTCATCAAAGTCCGATTGAGGCAACGGCGCCCCCGGTTGGCCGCACGAGTAAGCCAACTTACTCGAAGCGTCGATTCCATGAGCTGCAAAAGCACGGAGCGTGTCCCGGCTAAGACCGACCTCGGTGCATCTCGAGGTGAAGTGATGGGTGCTCTCTACCAAAGAGGTCATACTGAGCCCAAAAGCTTTAGCGGAAATCGATCCACCTCAGCTCGAAAGAGTAGCCAGGCCTGCACACACTAACTCAAACAAAGCTCAAGTATCATCAGCAGCAAGGTGAAAACATGCACACCCCCAAAGAAGTCGTATCGACTTTCGGAGCACATGCGCTCCGAGCACCTTCGCTCATACCTCAACTCGAGAGGCTAGCCAAACCTGCACACACTGACTCAAGCAAGGCTCGAGCGGGACATCACAAGGTGACAGCATGCACACCCCCAAGAAGTCGCATCGACTTTCGGAGCACATACGCTCGGAGCACCTTCGCTCCTTTCGCATCCTTTTTTCTTTGGGGCCGACTTCAGCCTTGATCCACGTCAAACATTTCGCCTGCATGTCCGGCACTCTGTCCCACGAGATACTTCCTCTCTCGTAGCCTCCCGGTAATTCTTATTCACCGGTCGCCCACATGCGAGCAACATCGGAGCCTCCTCAGGACTCGCGAGCAGATGCAAAACTCCACTACCGGTGTGAACATACCACACCTGGTCAGTAGACTCCACTTTGGCTCTCTTCCACCGTCGCACAATGGGCTGAGCGGCCTCCTCTGCCGAAGAGCTCGAAGAACTTGCAGACGATCCAGAGGATTCGCTATCAGACGAATCTCCCGGCTCTGAACCAGACTCGTCACTACTGAACACTTCAATCTTGACCACACCTTTTCCAGGAGGCGAACCGTCCTGACACGTGATTGCCTTTCCAGCTTCCTTGGTGCTCGGCATCTTTGGGAAGTAACTCGACCGACTGCTGTCGGGCATGAACCGCCCGGCCACGATCTCTCTGATCAAGTCTTGCAACCTTCGCACTGGGGCGGCCGCAAGCTCTCTGCTGTAGATGGCCTGAGTAGTCTTGACAGACGAGGCATGCCTGCCCAGTATACTTTTGAGGTCCTCGTCGAAACCAAATTTACTCCCCCAACCTAAGCAGGTGCCCCGAAGAGAGTATGCAGTAACTCTCGGCACGGATGCATCAAGGATTTCTTCAGGCTCGCCCAAGAATGCACGCAAGGCACGGCCCACCTCGGCAGAAGTGATAGACCGCGCAGAAGGGATTGTTCCAGATGCATCCCTAGGAGCGAGAGTCAATGGCCCCCTCACAACAGGCAATGCTCTGCCAGCGTCCTTGAAGGCGCTCAACGCCTCGTTGATCCAGCACTTTCCATGCACTCCGATCATTGGCACCAAGATTGGAAGGAGCTTATTCTTAAGCTGAACTTTTCTTGCCCCCTTGTGCTCAGAGACTTCAAAGACTAGCAGAGGGTAGTCTGAATCGGCGGGGCAGTCGACCTCAACCGATTCGATAAACAAGAAGTCGCTGGGACGTGCCCTGGCATACAGCCTAATCAAGATGGATGCAAGAAGAGCCCTGTCGAAGCAGTGCAGAGCTCCGGACTCCAGCCGCGCATGAAGCTCAAGGATCTGCGAAACCCTAAGATCTAGGGCTTGTCTCAGTTTCCTGACCTTCACAAGTTGCTGCTCCGCGGCACCGCAAATTCGTTTTGACTCGATGATGCCCGAGACTTTGAACCCCAGCACAAAGTGCGCAAATCTGAAGGAGCTGATCACAGACGATGCTTTTGATGCGGGTGCCTCGGAAGCTTTAAGGAACTGCACAAAGTTCCACACTTGTACCTCGTGCAACTTCTCGGCAGACTGAGGCTCATGGGCATCTACCCAACGAACAAAAGCCCAAAAGGAAGCCGCTCTCTTATGGATGGTGTGTGGCGACTTGACTCCCACGGCCGCAGAGACTGCAGCTTCGATCAAAACATAAGTGTTCTCGCCTGCACCTTGGCCATCTAAAACACAATCATAAAGCGTGCAGCATGCCGAATATCTCAGGACCAACCGGCTCCACATGCACACACCTTGGTCGAACTTTCGCTCTCTTTCAGCTGCAGGGTCCCTGGCCGCAGCACCAAGTGACACAGCCCAAGCAAAGATCGCACCAGTATTACACTCCTTGGCAGGCTGCTTGGATAGTGGATTTCCAGGAGTTGGGATCGACAAAGGAGGAATCTTCGAATCCTGCTTGAAGCCATTCAAGGGGTCCCATGCACAATCTGGATCAAGCAGGCCCTTTGCAAAATCGGTCTCCCACGGCAGTTGAAGGCTCAAGTCGAAATTACCAAACTTAGCAACATCAAACTTGACTAGTCCCCCAACAAAGGAGCCCAGGGCGTCGTCCCGTGCACAAGAAAGGCGTTCAGTTTCTTTGCTGCGCGAGCTGCTTAGCCCGCCGACTGAAGTATTTGATGCTGCACCCAAAGCCGCGGAGTCAACTCCGTCGCCTCGCCCTGGTGATGGCGAATATGACAACAAGGAGGCTCCCTCTTGCAAGACGACATCGCTTGTGTCCGACAACACAGAGGCTCCCTGTTTCGAGAAGACACCACTTGCAACTTGCTGATCCTCGCACCAATCCTCAGGGAAGTCGCAGAAAAGTTCGGGAGGCTGTGGAGGAAAAGGGTACTGGACCTCCTCAGAAAGCTCTTGAAGCCCCCAACTTGAACCCCTAAAGGACCGTCGGGCACTGCGGGGGGCAGGGCCCCATGCGGGGAGGCGGGGTCAGGGACTACCGAGGGTCCTTCTACTTCATCAACCGTAGCAGCTGGCGGCACAGCCGAACTGGATGCAGAGGACATAACGTCAAGCACGGTGATAAGCCCTTGCAAGGGAGCGGACAGCACGAATCACCTCCTGTCGGATCTCCAGGAAGACTCTCGCCACTTCACGAGACACGCAGGACAGAGCACGGAGAAGATGCACACCGAGAGCAAGCAAGACGTGAGCACCAGAAGATGCGGCTCCCAGCAGCTGAGGCAGCCCGACCTGAAGAGGAGGCTCAGGTTGCAGAATCACGGACTGCCAACCTCGGACGGGCAGGCGCCCCCAGAGCCACAAGAGAAGCAAACGTCTGACAGGCGGAGGCGGATGCCGAAGGCGCCTGTCCATAGGCTTCCCGACTGTTGCGGGAAGCACAGAAAACTACAGCCTTGGATTTAGCGCCCGAAGCCTGCTAGGAAGCAAGTAAAGGGCTTTTAGAGAGCCTGACACAAAAAATTTCTGCTCGGCTTGAGCACACAACTCTGCATGTGAGATGGCATTGCACGAACTGACCGGAACCGCAAAGAGGTTTGCAAAAAGCTTCAAGAAAACAAAGGAAGTGCATCAAGAAAATCAAGCTGGCACAAGAAGGTTTTTCCTAAGTTTGTCCAAGGCGGCCCACGCGAGGGCCTTCGCTCAGGCTCAAGAGAACCCACTATCTCGGGGCGAGACTGTGTGGTTTCTCGAATCAACACCTGTATGCGTTTGCCTCGAAGCCAAGATCCACATAACAGACAGGGGTCCATCATCTTCCTGCTGTGCAATAGGGCCTTGAAGCGGTTCCAAGTTTTTTGAGTCATTCCCATAAGCAGGGATGCACAACAGGAGAGGTTTGCAATATATTCCAGTATAAAACGGTCCATGTCATGCCGGATACAGGCTTGCCTTGGCTCGGGCTGAAAATATGTTAATGTGGGCCTACACCGAAGAAAAACGTTCACGCAACGTCCTGCAAGGTCTCAAGTTTCGTGCTGTCCCTACGTTCCGGGCGTGCAACAGCAAAAACGGTAGCCTCTGCCCCAACAGCATCCTAGACTCGGACCTGAGGCTTGAAACAACGTTCTGCGGCAAAAGCGAAGTCCAAGTTGAATCTCTGCGCTTTAAGCGGTCAAGCAATGTGGCTTGCGCAAGATGGCATTCCATCCGGCCTTCCGTCCTCCGGTCACATGGTGATGGAATTTCTCTGCTCAAGATGCAAAACGTCGCCCTAGGTTGCTTGGCGTTTCCGCACGTCTGAACTGGACGCTTCTAACTGGCAGAAAAAGTCCTCCTTCCGACCGCCAGCTCCTCACAGCTAAACCAAGTTATTGAAAACAAGCAAAACAATGCCCATTACAATGCAGGCTTCCTTTGTCATCAGGCAGTTAGAAGTGCATGTGGCGAAACAGGGCCATCAGGGGCATTCGATGCCGAAAGGCCCATAGTCGGCACCTGACGCGCAGGCGAAGAGCGCGTCCCTTCGACTTCTTTCTGAAAAAGCGCCCACGCAAAGGGCGATCGTTAAAGGCGGCTGCAATGCGGACTATTTTTAACTCAAAAGCAAGTCGGACACTGCCGAACATGATCCGGGCAACGGTCGCAACGGAAGTCCCATTATACGTTCCGGACCAGAAAAACCCCTCACCACCCGACCGAAAAAAAGTGCAAAGGAAGGCAATCCCTCCCGGTATGTGGAAGAGCATCTTGAAAGTTTCGAGAGGTTCACCGGCACACCGGAACGGACTGCCGGAGTAAAGACCCTGATGAGCAATTGCAACCGGTGTGCATAGGAACCCGAAGAGAGGCGGAAGCTGGGTTGCGGCGAAGCTTCGCCAGGTTTTGCGTGACCAGAGAAAAAGGGCTGCTCTTTTTTTTGACCCCGAAATATTTTTATTCAGACCCCGCGCTTGGTCCATCTTGATTTCGACCCCGGCATGTCTTTTTTCCGACCTCCATCTTTTCTTCAGCCCCGCGACGAGGTCTAAAAAAAGATTACGATCTTTTTTTCGACCTCCACTCTACGATTTAAGCCGTCTTTTTCTCGGCCCCGAAATATCTCGTAACTGACCCCGTGTCTTTTGTCGGACCCCGGTGGATCTTTTTCTGGGCCTCTAATGTCTTTTTTCTGACCTCTGCAAAGATAGAAGCACGCACACATGACATATCAAACAACACAACAAAGAGCGCCACAATATGAATTTTGCAACGCAAACTGCACAAAAACTAACTTAACCATACTATAACTTCTCACACACACACACACAAAAAGAAGAAGAACCACGAAATCGCTTTTACGGGCTGAAAGCGAACGAAAGAAATCAAAGTGTGTCATCGAAAGAAAAGTTTTCCAACACGAAGGAAGGAGAAGCCACACGATATCGCTTTAGGGTGCAAAAGCAAAGAAAATAAAAATGAAAAAATAAAAGTGAAAACACACACATGACAAAGGATCTTTTTTCCGGCCTCCAACTTGTCTTTTTCTGGCCTCTGCTTGGGGCCGGAAAAAAATCAAGGTCTTTTTTTGGATCGTGGTGGAAAAGCGCGGATGGCACACTGTGTGGTGGAAAAGTTTGTCGGAACAAACGTTTTCGTACGGTGCGCTTGTGGCGGCGAGCCAGACGGCCATTCCAACTTCACTTTGACGCAACAAAGCGCCTAGATTCTGATATGGTGGACGCTTGCTCTTGTTCCTTGAGCCAGTTGAGGGGATCGTCGGCGGCACTCGCACCGACCCCTTCTGCGGGTACTATCTCTCGGCATGTGAGAACCAGTTTCAAACATCGCCCGTCAGAGACGATGCCGAGACTTTCAGGACACACGCCCCACTTGTGCAAAAGACCCTGCTCCCCACAATGCGTTCAATGCGTTCCCTACTGCCAGTTTGCCGATGCGGTTCCTTGCGGCCCTTCCGTGGAGTTAGCCAGAGTGGCATCTTTAATGCTAAAGAGGTGAAAGAGAAAGTCTACCACCCGAGCTAACGAGCAGCAGGACACGAAGACAAGCTCCGGCTGAATTGTACTGAGCAGCTCAAGTCAACGAGCTGACCTTCTGTGAACTGATCACGATGATACATCTTCTCCTCTGGCGGAGGCTCGCTTTTGTTGATTCACACAGGGCTCTGGGGCACAGGTCTTGAAAGCGCTTGTTCATGCCGCGCCCTCGTCATCGACGAGGGACGGCAAGAAGGGCATTCGTAGACCACCTCGGGCCGGTGAGGGAGCCTTTGCTTGCTTAGTGGAAGCAGCGCTTGCTTGAGTAGCCTCACTCGTCTATAGTTGTGCAAGGGAGGACCATTGTCGAGCCCCCCCTAAGTGGGAGGGCCTGAGCACCGTCGGACGCTTCATCTGACTTCGAGGCTCTCAGCGCTCACTTGTCTGAGCTTCAGCAGCAGGTTCATAGTCTGCAGACTCGCTTGATTGCAGCAAAGACAGCAATTGGTGCTTTAATTGAGCAATGGCAGTACATTCGCCTCTATTTTCTTCAGCACTTTGTGCATCGCTGCAGACACTTTTTGCTCTCTGTGACTCAGCCTGAGGTCGCATCAATGTCCGATCATGCTTTTGCGCCTGCTCCGTCTCTGTCCGCCTCAGATTTTAAGGGCTGGGGATGCAGCTGAAGCTCCTGAGTTGCCTTTGCAGGGTTTCGGTGCCGGTGTCTCGCCTTTTGAATGTTCAGAGTTCTGTGGCTTCCGATGTTGGCGGTGGCCGAGGCGCTCGATGCCATGTTAGCTGATGGTGCCAATGTGTTGCCAGATAGTAGCCTTCCCAGTGAGACTTGCGGCTCTACGTGGATCCAGCTGGCAGGACAAGACTTCCATGTGCCTTCACGTCGGTCATGTCTTGTTTTTCTTTCTGAGGGAGTGCGTTGCAGTGCATGTGCATTCCAGTGAAGCAGCTCTGTCACGACTCGAAAAATGCCACGAGAATCGGCGAAGCAAGTAACCCAGGCGCTTTGCCTGCTCGGTGTCCACAGACATTGGCACATGCTCGAATATCCAGATCTTGGGCACCCGATCGCCACTCGTCAGCGTGTGCCGCGTAGCGATCCTGTTGCCCTTCACCACAAGACCTAAGTCTCCAGCGCACTTCACTGCTCGAGCGAGGTACTCGCCGTGGGCCTCCTGTTTGCTGGTGCGTTCCACCCAAGAGATCCTGCTGCGAATGGCCATGGAGCGAGAGGGATCAAGGAAGACTCCGTCCTGTCCTGAAGCATGCAAGATCGCCTCCGCCTCGGGTTTCAAAAGGCGAACTAATCCGTACAACTGGTGGCCCATTTCGCTGCCCTTCTCGGCTTTCCAAGCAAAGCTGTCTAGTGCATGCACATGCCTATCAGCGAGCCACTGTAAGTCTGCTTGGTCTCCAAAGGCACGGCAACGGCAGGCAACTGCCTTTGCTTGACTGGCTCGGCACGAGGGGGAGCGACTCTGGCCCAAGTGATCAGGCTCTCGCTGGTCAAGGTTGATCGGAGCCAAATCGGCATCAGGATCGGCAGCGTGGGAGCCTTGAAGTGAAAGGTCCTTTCGCCCTTGGTTCCGCGGACTCGCATCATGACGATGTCGAGGAAGTGGTCTCGAGGATTCCGGCCCGCTGCGGTATTGACGTACATCTCCACCGCGAAAGGCACTGCGCCACAGCCTAAGGGCCTGGTTGTGCGAGTCTCTAAAACCTTCGCCTCGCAGCAACTCTGGGATGCTTTCGGTCCCCACCGAGGAGGCCTCTGACACGGCGGCCGAGGGGGACCAAAGGTGAAAAAGCTTGCGGTGTTTCCTGAGCTTCGAGCCATTCCGGCTGGAATGCTCCTGGAGTTCCAACCCAAGGATGGGGCATGTGCTTTCCATTGCTTCTCAGTGGGATTGCATAGGCTGTCGAAAGGAAAAATCAACAAACATCCCGTGCTGCAGCGTGTAGTCGACTAGGCCCGCATACGCCAAAAAAATTCTTCGTGGGCGAACATGTTCGCCCATGATGGACTTGGCTAAAACGGCAGGATTGGGGAGGGCTGGAGCCTGTCGCGTCGGGGTGAGGTGCACAAGTGGAGGCAGGCAGGCCACCAGTTCTTCTTTCGCGAGCGGAACTTCCGCACGGTAGCACACGGGTGGGCCTTGCTAGGTCTCTGTGGGCCAGGTCTTTTCTTTGCAAGGTCTCTGGCAGCGACTCGGGTGGCGGCAGGGCAAGTGCAAGTCCAGTCGGGTGGGAGGGCCAGACTGATCCTCGTGGCCAAGTTGGCTTTCCACACGACCATCAAGCCACTGAGCAGGTGGTACAGCAGTTTCTGGACGAGGTACGCCAGGGCATGTTTGTTCTCTTTGTGGACTTACACTCCGTAACCCCTTTGGCTCAAGGCGTCTCGGCTCGAGTGCTCAAAGAGCA